GGTGGGCGGGCCCAAGCGTTTGTGGGCGGGGCATGCAGGGGTGGTGGGCGGGGCCTAGGGGTGGTGGGTGTGGTCAGTGGGGCAATACGCAGGGTGGTAGGCAAAACAGACTTGGTGAGGGGGGCTAGAGGTTCCATGGCGAGTGAGGTGGTGTGGGTGGGGTTAGATGTTCTGTGGGCCTTGCTGTGAGGAGGAGTGGTGGGTGGGGCCATGGTTTGTGGGTGGAGGCAGATGGGCGGGGCGGGGCTATGTAAGTGCAGTGCGGTGGGGGCTGGGGGAGGAAAGGTGGTGAGGAAGACGTGGCAGAGAGGTATTGCCTCTACCCTGCGGGTTTGTGTGTGCCCTTCCCCGCCTTTTTGTGTCCCCGTGTCTAACTCATGGCCCCTGCAGGGCCCCTGTATGTGCTAGTGGAGTACGCAGCCAAGGGCAACCTGCGTGAATACCTGCGTGCTCGCAGGCCCCCGGGCATGGACTACTCATTTGACACCTGCAAGCTGCCGGAGGAGCAGCTCACCTTCAAGGACTTGGTTTCCTGCGCCTACCAGGTGGCTCGGGGCATGGAGTATCTGGCCTCCCAGAAGGTGAGCAGGTGGCCCCAAGGTGGTAAAGGAAGTTAGAGCGGGTCGCGGTAGGACTGGGCTGGGACTGTCGGTGGTGCCTTGGGGGGCAGGGCTGGGACTGCTGAAGTCATGGGCGGGGCGAGAGGGGGTCCTGAGCTAGTCAGAGGCTGCCAGGATTTGCTGTGATCTCTGGGACTGCTGGGGTCCTGCAGGGGGGCCCTGGGCCGGGCTGACAGGTCAGCCTGAGCTCCCGCTCCTGCCCCTAGTGCATACACAGGGACCTGGCTGCCCGGAACGTGCTGGTGACAGAGGACAACGTGATGAAGATTGCAGACTTCGGGCTTGCCCGGGATGTGCACAACCTGGACTACTATAAGAAGACCACCAACGTGAGTCCAGCCCAGGGGAGGGGCCATAGGGAAGAGCCGCCAGCCAAGACCCTGGGCCGGGAGGCCACCTGGCAGCCTGACAAACTTCTCTACCCCCAGGGCCGGCTGCCGGTGAAGTGGATGGCGCCCGAGGCCCTGTTTGATCGCGTCTACACCCATCAGAGTGATGTGTATGTGTGTCTGACGGGGAGGGGGTACTGTGTATGCACACAGCTGCGGGGAGGCGGGGCCTGGGGGCCAGGACCACTCCACAAAACTAAACTCCCCATTCTCTAGTTAGCACCAACTCACAGTGAGCCCGTAGGGCCGAGTAGAAGTGAGGCCGTGAAGGACTGAGACTGTGCCTCCTGGCTGGTGCCTCGGGTGGTGGGTTCGAACGCAGACCTTAATGGTGTAAACCAGGGCTCCTTAGGGAGCAAGACAGGACGCAGTTATTCCACCAGCCCCCGTCAGTCCTGGCCTGGCCCTAGCTAGCCTCCTGGCTCTGCCCCATGGTGAGGCCACCCCTGGGCCGGGCTCACTTGACAGGCCACGCCTGGGCTTATAGGTGGTCCTTTGGCGTCCTGCTGTGGGAGATCTTCACGCTGGGGGGCTCACCGTACCCCGGCATCCCGGTGGAGGAACTCTTCAAGCTGCTGAAGGAGGGGCATCGCATGGACAAGCCGGCCAACTGCACGCACGACCTGTGAGTTCCACCTGCCCACGTGTGGCATGTGCGCGGCGCCCCTGGGCATCCAGGCTAGGTAGACCAGGGCCGAGTGCGTGGCACTGCAGCAGCTCCAGAGCGAGAGGGGGTGGCGGGCTGCCAGCGAGGCTGAGCCCCTGGCATGGCTGAGCGGAGGTCTGCACAGGTACATGATCATGCGGGAATGCTGGCACGCCGTACCCTCTCAGAGGCCCACCTTCAAGCAGCTGGTGGAAGACCTGGATCGTGTGCTCACAGTGACGTCCACCGATGTGAGTGCCCCGGGGGCATGGGAAGGGGGCGGGGGAGGGGGCATGGGAAGTCGTGCTGACAGTC